TCAAAGAAGTATAAAAAATCAAGACTAAAAACCAAAGTAGAACATTATAAAAAGTCAGGAAAATATATATAAAGCTGGAAACCACCACCACCAACCCCAAAAAAAGAGAGAAAAAGAAAGAAACCACCGGAAAATATGAGTAATTCTTTTGCACTACCCAATGGACTCTTGCATTCAAAGCTAAGAAATTTCACAATATTCCCGCTGTACTAATGTGATCTAACATAGGCCTTTTCTCCCCCATCCCCCCTTAAATCTGTTTAGCGATTTCTTCTAGTGAGAACCAACCCAGGGCTGGCCAGAACTGCTTTGGAAGAGACTCCTATAGCAGTTTCTTACTGCCGTCTCCTCCCTGAGCCCTGGGATCTGCATGGTGCAGATTCTTCTCCTGTGCAGCACAGAGCAGTGTCCATTGTGGAAACTTGTGCGAATGACATAGGACCTTCCCTGGGGGTGTCTACTTGTGTAAGTTTCCCCTCTGGTCACCAGCACAGAGATGAGTAGACAGAGCAAAAGAAAAGATTTGAAAAGGAAAAAAAAAATACCATTCACACCTCTGTTTCTGCAGATCACTGGCTGGTGTCTGCACTAGGAGTGTTCTCGGATCCCTCTTACACCCACTCACATTCAGAACAGTTGCAGTGGAACAGGCCAACCATTCCTAATCAGAAGTCACTTCCTTCCTTGCATCTGCTCCAAATCTTCTGCCTGTTAAGCCCTTGAATCACTTTTTATTTTTTTAAATCACTTTATCTGAAGTTCAGAGGTCCAGAATGGTCCTCTGAATCTATTTCATTTGGTTTTCCATGTTTTTACTGATGGGAGTGGATGGAGGGGGGTCTGCACAGCCTTTCTGCTTAGTCTGCCATCACTCTCACCTCCCTGACTGTCGCATACATTCTTAAATAGTAAGTTATATGCTTTTTACTTCTTCAACTTGCTTCACTTAGCAGGGTCCACAATCACAGTGCTGTAGGCACAACACTAAGGGCTCATCCACACACAGGGGTTCCTGGGAGTCTCTGCATACCATTTTGTGTTGATGCACTACAGACCTTGCGTTCATTCAGCAGGCATGTGGCTATGCTTGCTCTCTTGTCTTATTGATGGATAACTTGTTGCTATTGAAAACAGTGAGCAAACTTCCACAAGTCTTCATATGCACAGGCATACAAGTTTTTCTGGAGAATCATTGCTTTTTATTATTGGATAACTATGATTTTAAAAAAGAAACTTTGTTGAACATTATAATAAAACTTGATAAAGTTTAAAATATTTATTAGTATGAATCAGTGTGTGTTAAATAAAAAGTAACAGATACAATTGGGCATTGTTGAGGGACTAGCTTTACTATCAAATAGAGGAGGAAAGGTCTAAACTGTTGGCAGCAGCAGGTTCTATATGCACGAACTGGGTCCAGCCCAGCCTGATCCCTTAATAACACAGAGGAGGAAAAAGAACATTTATATAACATAATACTAACATATACATATATATGGAGTCCTGGTATGGAGCTGTAGGATAAGTACTGGACCACAAGGTTGGTTTGAACTGCAAAGTCAGTGGTTCAAATCCATAAGCTGCTCCTTAGAAACCCTATACATGAGTTGGAACCGATTCAATGGAATTAATCAACCAAATCAAACACTGATATTGCATTATTAGATCTGGTTTAAATAAGAATGTTTAAAAGAGTAAACTATATATCTCATAGGTCTGAATACAAATCATAGCCCTTTCATTTATACGTTAGCTCATGAATATTCAACTTGCCACAAGTGAGAATTGCAGAGTAAAAGAGGATAGGCCACTAAGAGGAGTTCAGTTTTAGCCATCATATGCAATCATCCTTGAGTTTGGAGGAAAATCTCAGTCATCTCTGCCTCCCTCAGAAAATTCAATTTTTATGGGGCACAACCTATAACTGTTGGCTAAAGGTTAGTTTTAAGTATTTAATTTTTTATAGTTTGCAAAGTAGCATCATATTCAGCATCCTAATGTATCATTTCTAACGATAAAATGATAATTTAACTATGTACCTACATAAAATGGTTGCATGTCTACTGCCATTTTTGGGGATTTAATTGGGAAACAACCCTCATGAGAACATATATTTATAGTCTATAACAGATATATGTACTAGACCCAACCAATTAAATGGATTACAAGTAAGAGTAACAAATATAATATCATGTTTACATACATACACACACACATACCACACATAAAAGGAAATAGGCAGAAGGTAGTAGTAGTAACCATGATGGGAAAGATACCACACCACATGCAACTATTTGACATTTTGGAACAACTGTAATTTTAAGGTGTTCACATAATATTATGAGGCTAAAATTTGATCATTAAATCAGTCAGAAAATAATCCCAATCCAAAATAAAAGAATATGGCAAAGCCTTCCTGATGGACAAGACCAGAGACCTGTCTTCAGAGAAGGCCCTATATGGATGCCAATGCCTATGTGTCCAAATTCTACTGATCTCTTTGCTGATTGCTCTGTGGTGTGATGATATACCCAGTATGTGTATGTGTATGTGTATCCTCTAGAGCATGGGGGCTCCATAGGATAAGCAATGGATGTCAAACCACAGGGTCAGCAGTTTGAGCCCACCAGCCACTTAGTGGGGGAAAGATGAGGCTTTCTGTTCCCACAATGATTTAAAGCCTCAGAAACCTTATACAGGGTTGATATGAGTTGGAATTGGTGTGACGGGACTTAACAACAACAAATATGTATTGTCAGACTGGCTTGAACAGTTAAAGCAGTATAGAAAGGTAGAAGAGTGGTTTCATACCCTCATGGGCTTCTGAAATAAAACCATGGGCTCAAGAAGTTAACATGTGCTTAAGATCAGCCATTTTTTGCAAGATGCTGACCTCGGCAGACCATGCCCAAAGCTATGAGACTTCTTGGAGTGCCTGTCCACTTTGCAAGGCAATATGACTACTGTCTAGACAGAAATCCATTTCTAAAGATGGTTAAGAAAAGGGTAAAAAATAAGCCTACGTATAATCTGGAAAGAAGTCACTTCAGTTTTCAGTGCAATTTTTTTTTTTTTTTTTTAGCCTTTAGAAAGATATTATTTCTTGTCCTGTAAGAAGAATCATGTTAGCTAATAATGTTGACAATGCAGAGAGAAACCAAAAAAAATTCCTGCAGAGCCCTGTAAAAACAGACAAATTCTGCTTTAATTTGAGGTCCTTGTCACAGAGACCTAAAACATACTCTTGAACCAAAAATAAGTGTTTTCAACCTTCACATCCGAATGCTGTTAATCAACGCTTTAAAGTTAAAGGAAACAGTCGGAACATCAAATTGACCACATTTTGGGTGTAGAAAAGCATAAATCTGGCCTGGTTTTTCTGTTTTTAACCACAATCAAAAGAAAGCGGTATTAACAAGCAAGTGGTAACTGTAAAATTGGCACTGGACTCTCAAGGACCCTTCTTTTTTGTAGCTGATGTAACTCAGTGTCTCTATCCACTAAGAGGATGGTGAGCAGTCACAAAAGGCTCACACTGAGTTACAGAAATGTCTAGCTCATTGCATTGTAGGGTTTTAATGAATGTCTGCTAGCTCTTGAGTGGTCAAGGCAAAGAAGGTAATAGATGGCACTTGTTACCATGCTTCATGACTGACTGCTTCTGATGCTATTCTTCTACAATTTTCCTAAGCCCCAGAAAAGTCACAATATTTGGAACAGCCTTTAAGAACCACCTCCCAATATTAGTCCTGTAGAAAATCAACTACTTTGTGACTCTAGATTTCATGAAAGTTAGAATGATAATATGATTTGAATTTTTAGTGGGAATAGCTTTTCTTTCTTTCCGTATCTTTTCTCTTACTTCCTGTGGATTCAAATGTCTTTAATATAATGTGCACCAAACTCCATTTTCAGTTAATTGGCATCCCAGGGGTAGACCTCTGGCTCGCCCTAATTTAGCAACTTTAAAAATGCTTTTGTAGCTTTGGAGTCTAGAATATTGAGGTGCTGATACTGGCTGGCAGTCTCATAGCCTACAACTAGTTGCTACTAGAAGTTTGCCCTATGATTTAGACTCAAATATCTTCTAGCTAAATTTTTCCCTTGATAATTTATTTAAGGTGGTCTTTGAGTAATATTTCATCCTGTATCAATTTCCAATGACATAATAACAACTTCATTGACTCTTTCGAATTAGACCTCCCTAACCCAAAATTATATGCAATATTTTAGTCAGATTTGGTATGTTTGTATGTGACTAAACTTAGAAAATGCTAATAAATTAAAAGTTCAAGCAACAGACAATAGTTACTCATATGAGATGGCTTCAAGATGTTCATGGCTTCAAAAAATTCCATTATCTTTCAATGGAATTTTCCCACAAACTTTTTGAAGCCCTCCTCATACATCTTTCTCCACTTAAAGTGGTCAAATCTGAAGTTTATGGGGTGATCCAATTACACTTCTCTGATTTATTTCCAAAAAGTGGTATAAAAGTTTAGTTCTAAAGTCAGCTGAAAACTTACCTTCTAAATTAAATTTGTCTTTTAGTGACAGCTGACTAAGGAACACAGGCAAAAGCTTTAAGAAGTTACAAAACTTTGCTAGGGAATTAGAATGGAGCACCACACTGAAATCTCACACACAGATTATACCAGAAAGACTTTAGGACAAATTAAAGGATTTTTTTTTTTTTTTTAAACTTCTTAATAAAAAACTCAATGTATTTTAACTAGGTGACATCATTCCCTGCCTGGTGCATTTAATACATGAAAGGTCATTTTGCAACAATGTGGTGGTTTGTTTCCCCAAGAGATTTCTAAAATTCTTTTTCAGGAAGATTTTCTGCCCCATTCCCTGCCACCTTCCAGGAGGCAAAGCCAGCATGCTCTCTCTTCTTGAGTGGGATGCCAGGGTGCCAGACCACTGAAAATGGAGGGCTCCAGGCAATGCACGAGAGGGGTCTGGATTTTTCAAGTGTCTTCAGGCAAGGGTCCGGGTCAACAGCACCGCCGGCTGGCTTGCGTAGTCTGCTTCCCGACCTTGATGGTTCCACTGTTTCCATTTTCATGGGGATCTAAGGGAGGGATCTGGCGACCTGGAACAGAAGGGAGGCCAAGGTTGAGTTCTTTTTTCCCCCAGTCAGTATGACACACACGTTTTGACCCTGCTTCATTCATGTTTGGTTTTTACAAAGTTGAGAAACTGTAGAAGTGGCTCTATCTGCCCTTCTTCCCTCCGTCCTTTCTTTCCTTTCTCCCTAGATTTACTGCTTGAAGTCAAACTCATGTTCAGAAAATTATGGAAAAGTAAATGCAGCTTTATTATACTGCTGGTTCCTTGGATGCAGAACACCTTCCTACTGAGTGGGGCTGGAGTTCCCACCAACCTTCTCTGTACAAATCATTCACTCGTTACTTCCACTCGTTACTTCTTAGTCTTTCCATGACTCCATCCCACTCCAATGAGCTACTTCATGGATCTCTGACTTTAATAAGTAAGTACTGATGGTTTCTGCTTCTTAAAATAAGGAATTATAATCTTCCTAGTGAGGTTGGCCCAGGATCAGGCAGTGTTTCGTTCTGCTGTGAATAGGGTCGCTAAGAGTTAGGACCAACTTGATGGTACCTTACAACACCAACAACTAATATTACTTCAGGAGCCCTGGTGGTGGCTGTCTGCTCCCGTAAAGATTTACAGTCTGGGAAACCTTATGTAGGAGCATTATGAGTTGGAGTCAACTTGATGGCAGTGGGTTTAGTTTTTCTGGGTTTTATTTATTAACACTTAGCTCACCATGCCTCATTCTGTCAATGAATTTAGATTACTAAATGGAATGCTTTACAGAGACATTCTAGATAGGAAACAGTATTTTAATGTCATTCCAAAATAATCCTCTTTAATTGATTTAAAAAAAAAAAACTATTTTAGAAGGGAGGTGACAAGATGGCAGATTAGGCAGTAAGCCTATACAGACCCTTTACAACCAATATAAGGAAAACCAAATGAAACAGATGCAGATGATAGTCCTGGAACTCTAAACTTCAGATGAAGGGATAGAGAAGTGGACTGAATGTTTACTAGAAGGGAAAGCTGAACAGACGTGGCAAAAAAAGGAGACAGACTGATGCTGCTACCTGACAAAAAAAAGACACAAGAAAACATTGGCACTGCCAAAACATACCAGCAGCTTGCGAAGATAAAGGTGTGATTATTTTTCTTGTTCCCCACACACCCCTGGTGAGCAGAGGCAAGGCCAGTCCCCACTGTGTAGACGCTCAAAGAAGCTTGTGACTGCCAGTGGGGCAGTTGTGAGCCCTATTAAAGGAGGGGAGCTATTTGCATACACATTGTTAGGGTGTGCCCTGCTCTGAATCTGTAGAGCTGGATTTGGCCAGCCCTGGACTATCCCTCACTAGAAGAAGCAGCTGAACAGATATGGGGAGTGACAGGGGAGTGGAAGGGAAAGAAAGGAGACTGGTGATCTGTGCCGGTCAGCCAGGTGTGGCATTGCCATCTTAAACTTTTGTGTGTGGCTTTGAAGGCCAGAGGGTTGTAGGTGGTGCAGAAACATACTGCTTGTTGTTGCTGTTATTAAGTGCCATTAAGTCAGTTCTGACTCATAGTGACCCTGTATAATGTTTCTGAATAGCTGGTAGGTTTGAACAGCTGATCTTGTGGTTCAAAGTCCAGTGCTGATCCTACAGCATCACACCAGGAACCATACTGCTTGTGGACAGAAAGGTATAAAAATTTTTCTTGTACCCTACATTACGTTGGTGACCAGATGTGTGTCAGCCCCTATCTGTGTACACTCCCAGGGAAGCTGCTGCTCTCCTGGTGGTCAGAGAGGGAACAAAGGGAATAGGGGACTAGCAGCACCAACCCTGTCACTTGGAATCAGGTGTGACCTGCTCCAGACTTGCAGAGCTTGTTCTGGCCAGGCCTGGAATAGCAGGATCTCACCCTAGACTCACCCTGATCTCCCACCTGTATTAGTGACTAAATGAACTATTTTACGATTAGGGGCCCTGAGCAGACAATACCTAACCCTACAGGAACTACATGTAGGGTTGAGTGTATTACCATCTCATCCCTTGGCCACCCATGACATGAGGTCCTAAGCAGGAAACTTCAGACTTTTATCCTCTCTGGGACTGGCACCTGCCTGTTTTTTTCCCTTTCACTGTTTTTGTGTTTATTCGTACTTCCTCATCTTTCTCTCTTTACTTTCTATCCTTTCGATCTTCACATTCATTTTGTCTTCTTTTTTCCTACTTGTCTTTCCCAACCACAAATGCTTTTTTCCTTTCTCTTTGTTTTTATTTATTACTCTCTGGTATCTTCTCCTTTTACTCATTCCTCACCCTTATTATGTCTAGTTATTTTTCATTTTTTTAAGTTTAAAATTTTTCTTTTCCCTCCTTTTTGCTTTTGTATTCTTTTTCTAGCTGTTGTCTGTTTTTTTTTAAATTAAATTTTTTTTCCTATTTTCATTTTTCACTGCTGTTTGCTTGTTCATTTGTTTTCATTCTGTCTTGTGTCTGTGTTTTTACTTCTTGTCCCACCTGACAGAAAACAGCAACTGTGTCCAAACAGCCCAGACAAAACTATACCATTTACAGTCCTACATACTGGGTAATACCCCGTAGCTATTACCAATACCAATAGGTAGAGCCAATACTAGCTGCTATACACATGATCAATGACAATAACCAACATCAGCTAAACTCATCCTAAACTGAGCTGCACGAACAGCAAACAGAGAATGGTTCATGATCTCATTCCCTAATCACATTGACTTGGAGACAGTTGGTGAGTGCCTAAGAATACAACAACATTCAATCATCAACTTAAAACAGATACAATAACACCACAATGTCTCGGAAGCAGCAAACAATTTCTGTTTACATGAAGAAACAAGAAAGATTGACTCAAACAAGTGACCAAGAGTCAGAGTCAGAAAATGTTTTTAAGGGGAAACAAGGCATGGGAACTACTTGAAAAAGAATTCAAGAGAATGATATTTAGGTAACTCTAAAGGATTGACAAAAAGATGAAGGAAAACAAGGAAGAATTCAGGAAAACACTACAGGAACAAGCAAAACAGATAAAGGAATAGGGATAATACAAAACCTGCAAATAGAAATCCAGGAGATCAATAATATTTCAGAAATGGACATTATATTGAACGGGCAAAGGAATAGATTTAAATCAATGGAAGTCCAAATTAGTTAGCATGAAGATAAATTTCTCAATACTAGTAAGCTAGAAGAACAATCAGCAAAAAAGAAGGAAAAATCTGAAGAAAGACAAAGAATCATGTGGGACAGCATGAAGAAGAAAATCTTATAGGTGATTGAATTTCCAGTATAGGAAGAGATAAAGAAAAGCACAGAAAAGATAGTTGAAAAGCTGAAAATTTCCATAACCTCATGAAAAAAACAAAAAGGTCAGCATTGAAGAAGCCAAATGAAACCCCAACAGAATAGACCCCAAAAGAAAATCACCAAGAGATAATCAGTCTCTTGAAAATCAACACAAGGAAAGAATCCTGAGAGCAGTTCAGGAGAAACGAAAAGTTACCTACAAAGGGGAGCCAATAATATTAAGTTCTGATTTCTAAGCAGAAACCATGGAAGCAAAAAAGGGTATGGGGATTAAACACGTTTGAATGGGCTAAGTGGGACAGAGGTAAGAATTATGTATGCACAACTTTGGAACTGCAGGGCTCTGGGTTACAGAGATTGAGACATGGTTGGAATGGGGGAAAAGGGGGGAATAATGTTAAGATGCTTGGCTGTCTTTTGAATCTTGGTTTTCCTTGCATTATAATATAAAATAGACACTGGATGGGGAGAGAAAGGAATAGTCAGAAACATCACCATAGTAGGCTTGTAAGTCCATCTTCTGCCTATAACTGATTGGAATACCTAGAATGGGGCTACAACGTGCCCAGTGGATACCCCTGCAATACATAAGACTATAGGTAGAAGCCTGAACCACATCCAGAACTCCAGAGATGGGAAATGAACACTTGAAAGGATGAGCAGACCAGCCTGGAGCGGCTAGAGGAACAGAAGATACTTCTTGAAAGACCTACAGGAAAAACACAAAACAATATAGGCAGACCAACTGCTACTACAAGCACAAGCAAGTTGCTTGCCCAGGAGACATCAAGGCAAGTGGTCAGGTCCCCTCAGTGCAAACCCCCTTCCAAGACTAAGACTCAATGGGAATACACGCTCTGATTGGTGACCACGCTCGTCACTGATAAGGAGAAGTGAGGAAAAAACAGCAATGAAATGGCGAGCTAAGCCCTACAATGTGGAGAGTGAAGTGTGCAGTTGATAAAAAGAGAAGGCATATGCACAAGAACACCCACACTTGCAGATAATACCCACTTGACCTGGTTTCAATGACTGGATGATCAGAGCTCAACCAGAAGAAGATAGAAAAGGGGGGAAAAAAAAGAG